AGCAGCAGCCGCAGGCAGCAGCCGCCAGCCAGCAGGCAATAGCGTTAACCCAACTAGCAGCCAGTGGGTGGCGCGTGAAGGAAACAAACCCTTGTTCTCAGCACACAGAGCAGTTGTTCACGGTTCAGAATTTATGCAGAGCAGTTTCTCTGGAGTCTAAGGACGGTCCAACACTTTTTATAACATTAGATGTGCTAGCAGTATTGGCTCTAACGGATTAGGTACCAGGAAAGAGACAGTACTGTTATTTCTAGTTAACACGGTCGTTTATTTGAAAGTCAGAGTAGGCAGCATAGCAGTTGCATGGAGTGCAAAGTAAACCATGAGCAAGTTGTTTGACTGACTGAGCCAAATCTCAAATTAATGTGCTTATGTTAGGTTAGGTTAGGTTAGGTATGATTTCCACTCTTATTTGTGCGCGAATGTATATCAGATATGATGGCTGTGACTTGTGAGTATCAGGGAGTAGACATGTCACGAGCAAATATTAGGCATAGGGAATGCGAACATTTAGAAGGAGCCATGCACAGTGGTGCACATAGCAAAAACTAGGCAGAGGGCATGCAAACATTTTGAAGGAGCCGTGCACGTTTCAGGCAAGATGCACGTGAATATCAGGTGGCTACATCACGACGGCAGCCACCATCTGCAGGATGCCACTCCTAGAGGATGTGGCCACTGCAGACAATTGAGGAAGCGTAACAAAGCCGACCCTAGCGCCTTCTCTGGCAGCGGCGCCGTAGTGAAAACACCGACCCCAGCGCCTTCTCTGGTAGCGGCACCGTAGTGAAAACAATGACTCCAGCGTCTTCTCTGGCAGTGGCGCCGTAGTGACAACACCGACCCCAGCGCCTTCTCTGGCAGCGGCGCCGTAGTGACAACACCGACCCCAGCGCCTTCTCTGGCAGAGGCGCCGTAGTGACAACACCGACCCCAGCGCCTTTTCTGGCAGCGCAGCAGTGACAACACCGACCACAGCGCCTTCTCTGGCAGAGGCGCCGTAGTGACAACACCGACCCCAGCGCCTTCTCTGGCAGAAACGCCGTAGTGACAACACCGACCCCAGCGCCTTCTCTGGCAGAAACGCCGTAGTGACAACACCGACCCCAGCGCCTTCTCTGGCAGAAACGCCGTAATGACAACACCGACCACAGCGCCTTCTCTGGCAGAGGCGCCGTAATGACAACACCGCCCACAGCGCCTTCTCTGGCAGAGGCGCCGTAGTGAAAACACCGACCCCAGCGCCTTCTCTGGCAGAGGCGCAGTAGTGACAACACCGACCCCAGCGCCTTCTCTGGCAGCGGCGCAGTAGTGATTTTGCCGACCCCTGCGCTCTCTGTCACCGTGCGGGTTTGCAGAGAGGTGCGGGTTCGATCACAGCTCTGTGCGCCAGTTTCTAACCTCCCCGCCAGAATCGACGGGGAGGCCGGGCGGCTAGGCGAAGCTAAATTGGAGCAATGAGTTTCGAGTTCGAGACCGCAACAAGCTCCGAATGTTCTGCGATGTTAAGAATCGGCGATAGGCATACGACCAAATAGATACTGAAACCGCTGTTATTATATTTATTATTATTCTGTCAGCGGAGCAGTAACAAAACCGAGCAGTAACCATGACGGACCCAGCGCTCTATTTGCGCAGCGGCGCAGTAACATTAACAGACCCAGCGCCCTGCTGGAACTGGGCTACTGGGGCCGCACAGAGCTGAGTCCAATGTCTTACTTGGTTAGCGACTTCGAGCTGCAGGCACTCAGGCAGCAGCGTCAAGACACAGGAAGCATCGACTTGGTTACAAGACATTCGTACGTCAGGAATTTCTAATACTTTCGTGGATACATGCTAATTTTTAGGGTAATTAGACAGTCGTAGACGAATTTATGTACACAGCAGAGGTAAGTGCAGCGATTGGCTGTGCTGCGTAATGGCGTGCTTCACTATGTTGGCCTTGACTGAAGACGGACGGTTAAATGAATGAAGATGGTTATCGTACAGTCTGTGAAAACTAACTTAAGACAGTTCTTTATTTAGGCATAGATATATTTGTTGACATGACCGAAAGGTATTTTAACCGTAACATGGCAACTGTTTTGCAGTCAAATTGCAGACTTCAGAGATGCGGCATTAGCCTTGCAAAGTTGCAAATGTGAGTTAGCCCTACTAAGTTTTCTATTTCCCTCTAGTATTCTGCAGCGTAATTCCAGGAGAGACCATTCAAAATTTTTTCTTGCTCTATAACGTAAATTTGGCTAATAGTGTATAACGTCTGTATTAGTGTTTTCAATTTTTAAATTTGTACTAAATAATTCAATTTATAATATGGAAAAATTTATCGAAACACTTATAACTCATTTTTTAAATTACCACCTGAAAAATTACAGAGCTAAAAGTGAATTTTTACATTTTAATTCGGTAGAACATAAACTAAATTAATATCATGTTCACGAGATCATAACTAAACTCGTAGTCAATGCTTTTGAATAATCTTTACGTAGTGTGCACTGTTATGTTAAGCGAATACCATGCAATTTTAATGTACGCATACACACAACAAAAAAAGCAATTGACATAATTATATCATGAAATGATGCGCGGTATTGGCAAATTTTTATGAGTAAAACTACTCGGCACAACTCTTTGGCACTCAATGGCAGGACCGAATATATATGAAGGTGACTGCATGTATGAATATTTTGTAAGGCACAAATAAAAACCAGAAAAATATAACGGCAATAAGCAATCTAGATGATCGAAACTATAGCCAATCTTTTGATTTGGTAGTGCACTTGGATGACTGCTGCAAAACCAATACTGGTGACACCAGGCCAGTGGATTATAAATTAACTTCCGAACCAAAAAATCAATGGCCTAATTGATTTATTGCATCAACCTCACCGAGCAGCGAACAAAATTTGTATTTCCTTACAACTTCACATGAAGCACTAGTTCATTCAAAAGGCACAATATTTTCTAAAGAAATCTTCAACTGGATTCAATAATTTTACAAACATAATACATTATACATAATTAAGTTAACTTTGTATTCCATATTCAAAGACAGACTCTAGTCGAATGCGTTCACCTTTTAAATACATATTGAATTGAACTAAATCAATTAATTCCATCAATGCATTAAGTTTGCGCAACTGCTAATTGCTGGCATTAGGAAACTCCACTCGTGCGTATTTCAACTTGAACCTCGCTTCTCTTGAAGCTCGCGTCTTAACCTTAAATGGTAATGTTGCCTCCAGGCCCCGAGAAACCAGTAGGATTAGCATTCATCTTCACCAATAATATGTGCGCCGAGTAGCACGAGAATGTCAACGACCACCGTAGCACAAAGACTCATTAAATTCATGTCACGGATGCATCAACAAATAATCGCCGATGTTCACAACCTACGTGAGTCTCCTCAGTTGGACGGCTTTTAAATGGAGAAGAAAGAAAAAAAATTCAGTTGACCGGGTTTTAAATAGAGAATAAAGAACGAAAATTCGCCTTGACACTATCGCAAGTGACCGGATCATCAAATCTGCCTGTCTAATTAAGGTGACCTGTGCGTCCATACAGAAATTATCACAACAAAAAACTGACAGTACTCTCAGTCCATCGCGCACAGACACCACCGAAAACGAAAAACCAACTAGGAATTGTGCAAACATAATCGTTTTTATTCAATATGAAGCTCAGTATAACTACAGTTGGAAGGACGCAATCTTCTTGCCTGTTGGCAGTAAGGACGTGAATAGCATAACGAGCCATGACGAAATATCACACACAACTTTAATGCCGCAATCAGTCATCTTTTGATTTTTACGAAGATAAAGCCGTTAGTAAACCGGAACGAATGTTGAAATACTGTAGCACAAAAAAGTTGGAGTTAAATATCAATGACCGAGAAGTTTACAGGATATGGCGGGATTCTGAAGAGCAAACAAAGATCAAACGCGCATTATGATTAAAATGCACAGCACGCGAACATTACTTCATAGGGAAGTGATCGTTTCCATACTTAATGATTTATATCATTGTGTCAATAGGTGAAGCTGAACTATTACACCCAGATTGAAAATCGTAGCATAAAAATTTAAAAGCAGTCACCTCCTGCAATGAGCACTGAATACAGAGTGTGGTAGAATGGTGCAGTACGAGCAAGGTAACAAGCACGAGAACATCCCGCACTACTGAACACGGATGAGACACAAGGCCTTCATCAGGAACAGACTTGAGTGAGTTGAGTCCTGCGGTCCATCTGAGGCATTGCGACCTCGGAAGACGTAGGCATTGCGACCTCGGAATTCGTAGAAGAAAAACGCTAACGGAACGTGTTAGTGGTGCGCTCTTGGGCCCAATTAGGGATCCAATACAAAGCATACTTTCGTTCTTTTACAGCACAAAAAATAAATTCTATAAATATTTAACGAGCAAAATTCTACCGACAAGCCAGTTTGTTGCAATGGGCGAGTTGAGGCGGTAGATATTTAGTAAGTATACAGCAGTTATTATTTATAATTGCCAGGCATTCTACCAGGCATTCTACCGCTTATTTATAACCGGTAGAATATCTGGTTTCCTCATTATTTTAAGTATTCGATCATTCCATGAAATATGCCTTATTTTCAAATGCACGAGTAGGATCGATACGCAGTTGAAATACATTATCCTGTTTTACAATGATACCTACCGGTACGTCGTATAAATGTGATAGTTACGCAACTGATTGTGTGAGCCTGAAAGCGATTTAACATGCCAGTCACGAAGAGCATGAAGAGGCAGCAACTGGGGATTCATCAGATCTCCATCTCGTTTTAACCATGGGAAAATGAGCGGTTAAAGAGAAGTTATTTTACCTTCCGCTCGCGATGCGCGTGAGAGTGAGCGATAACAGAGAAGTTATCTGACCTGTAGCTCGTAGTGCGCGTGAGAGTGAGCGGCAACAGAGAAGTTATCTGACCTGCAGCTCGTAGTGCGCGTGAGAGTGAGCGGCAACAGAGAAGTTATCTGACCTGAAGCTCGCGGTGCGGCGGATCGTCGTAGCGCAGGGAGCGTCTGCTCGGGCTTAGCAGGGTTGTGCACAGGTCCTCGCCCTCCCAAATTTTCCCCTTCGAATGAAAAATATTACATAACAGTTCAATGTTAAAAAGGTTAAATGGACTGAAATTATTCATTAGAAAAATTTCTGCGTCGAATTTGATATGTAGTTTTCATAAGCAGCTCATTATAAGAGTTGAAGAGTTTTTATAAGCAACTCTTTTGGTTTTATGTTTTGCTTAAAATAATTTTACAGATATTAGAAAAAGTCGAAGATGGCGGTTGGAATGACAAAATTTTGTAAAAGATAATCCATTAAAGTGATCTGTTTCAAACATCGCAGCTATGGAAAAAACTGTGCTATCGTAACGAAATCTAAACTAAAACAAATATACAAAACAGGTATTTGATAAACATTATTTTGAAATCGCTCAGTCCCTTTTACTATGCACTTAGGAAGACACGGTTACCATCTCATTGTCAGACAATATTTACTGCACTCCATGCCCAGGACTATGAATGGACTGATCTAATTTGAAAAACTACACGGCCCTTGCATTCCTACTCCTTATGACTAAATTGAAGCCACCAGCACATCATCGACTACGTTGGCAACTTCTAGCGTTTCATCGACGATCATCGTTTCTGATCTTTTTCTCATACTCATATACTAGTAAATAAGTCACGTGTGCTTAACATGAAATCAACTAATTTTCCCCGTTCACTGTCGTTGTTCAGATTCAATATAGAAAAAATTTTGTCCATAAGTAATAATATGAATCCCTAATTTTAATAAACGAATGAAGAAGCCTTCTGCAGTATTTACCGAATTGCAAACTGCTATGAGGATTACGAATGCAATATGAGTTAGGTGAAAGTATACATTAATTAACATGAGATACAAATTTTAGATTCGTAGAGATTCACCAGGATAGGTTGGTTGCCGACTTTTGTACGTGGAGATTTTGCCAGAAGCCGCACGTTTCTCTTTAGCGCGTGACAAGTCGTCGCTTGGGTGACTGTTGCTGCTCGTGATCGCTTGACTGCCTGGTCGTCCGCCTCGAGATATCGTGGAGCCTGCAATAGAAGCAAGGTATAAGAGCCACAGTTATTTTACCAGCGTAATAAACCGGAGTTGCGGAGACTAAATTCACCGTAAAATCGCTTAGAAATAATGTCATCAATGAATAAATTAAGAGAACAACTAATTATGAAATAAATCATAATATTTGATAAAGAAAAAATTTCTGTAACGTAAATAATCCAGAAATTTTAGAATGGAAAATTTTGTCTAAACAGGTTTTAGTCGGAGACATTTGATAATTTATTCACTCAGTTCCCGCATCATAAACGACGACACTCCTCACTCAGCACCCGGCAGAGGCGCATTACCAACATGCACATGCAAGTCAGCCTGAGAAACTGTCGGCGTCTCTATTGTTCACGTTAGTCTACCAACACAGACATTCTCGTGCTGGTCTCTTGCGTCGCGTTGCGAATGAATAAGATAGAGACAGACACGCTGTGCAGGAGATTGTGTTGCTACAGTTAATCGCTGTGAAGCCATACGCGTCAAGGTTTCAACTGCATTCCAGCACACGCTTCGATTCTTGCAATTATTTAGAGTCGTATTCACTTTTAGTCTACCGATAATTACTTTGGTTATCAGGCCCTTAGATGGGAATCGTATTGAAGGCGGTTTGATATTTCCGTAACTAAGGCTAAATATTGCTAGCGTTTTTCAATAGGTACCCAAGCACAAAATCAATAACTTTGCTCTCAATTTTTCATCTAAGCAACAAACGCAAAAAAATGCATATTCATTACTTCATAGGGAAACAGTTAACTCAAGAGCCATGCGAATTTTCCCTTGTTTCCCATAGAATAGAAGTGTCGGCGTTGAAGAAATAGGCCCATGGCAACAATTGATTCAAGACGCGCCTAAATGCTTACCAGGAGCACAATTAGCACTATAGCAGCAGCAAAAGGAAGCATATAAACAAGGCATGGGAATTGAAGGCGAATAAATGGAATATAAGCAGACATGGGAATAGAAGGCGCGGTAGGCGCTGGGCCGAGAGATCAGGTTGAGCCGAGTGAGGCAAGCCTGCGCCAGGTGTGCACGTTGCGGCAGGCAAACACAGCTGCCTTCTACAGCGCGGCACAAGGTCGCTGCGTTCGAAAGTCAACCTAATCGCTCGCATTGCCCTCCTGGGCTGCTGGTCTTGTTTCACTCGGTTGAGCTCCTGCTTAAAAACTGATATACTCTGCAACCTTTGTTTTTTGTCCGTAGACTAATTACAATTTGTGAATTTCGGTGTGGAGTTCGGATGTGTGTTTCAAATGAAGCTTTGCACTTTTTTGCAATCGTTTTTCAATGTTTTGAGTGATGAGTTTGAGTGTAAAATTTTTACTATTATTTCTTGGGAGTAAAATACTTGTATGTCGTTCTTTTCTTTCTCATCTAAATTTTCTCGGCATTCAAAAATAGCTTTCTAAGTTCTTAGCCTCAGAACAATTCTTCAGAGAGGTTGCGTATGTTCTAATCTCAAGCCCAAGGAGATAACAAAAAAAAAAAACTCATCGGAACACACATATGCAGGGTAAATAGAACAGATTCGTTTAGAAATATGGAGTAGTTGAGACAAGATTAATATGTCACTGTATTTATTTTTAGATGCATGCACTTGGGCAGCATACAAGTGAAGCCGGACAAGTACAGTGTGCGACATGCTCATTCTGAACTGCATGCGCGGGAACTTGACTGAATGGTCGAACGAACATTGACAGCTCGATTGGCTTCAACTCCGCCATTGAATAACATCTATCTTAGTCTTAATTTCACGGAAGAAGTTATTGAAATAAGATGCATTAAATTCTAAATTCTGGCTGCAATAAACTTCACTATATTATTAGAGCACGCCGCAAATTTAATGGATTCCATTTTTGAGAAATAAAGATCCCTTGCGCGACTTTATTCAGAGAAAATAAACCCGATGGTGGGTGGCATGGGCGCCTCTTTTGATGGAGTTCTAGCAAACACACACAAGTCACGTCCTAAACATGAGTTTCATCCATAGATATTGCATGAAATTTATGTTAGAAATGACCTGATCTTACAAGCTTCTATCCCAGCCGTTTCTTGAACCAAATGACATTGCCTGCTTCCTTAAAAAAAGTTTGTTCGAAAAAAATCGAAATTCAAAATAGAAAGAATTATAAATACCTTCACTGCTGGAAGACTTGCCGATTCTTTTCGTTCCACTGTACGGCGAAGAAGTAACTATACAAGGAAGTGAGACTCTCTTCGTTTTAGTTCTCGGTGAGGAGGAACAGACCTGAACTGAGCTCCTTTTCGTTACAGTGCACGGCGAGGATGACGAGACTTGATTTAAGCTTCTTGTCGTTTCACTATCCGCCGATGGGATGAATTTGTTTTTTCCTGACGGAGACGTGGCTTTCCTTTGTATTTTATTTACAGGAGGGGGTTCGGCGGAACTTGCTCGGCTTGAGAAAAAGGATTTGATAGGCGGAGGAATGTCAAATTTTTTATTGGTCCTGTCCCTACGTTGATCGTCATTTGAAGCACATGAGTTTTTTGGGGGCTCTATGGATTGAGACGACTTCACCATTACTTGAGACGACTTCACAACGGAAATTCCGGGAGTTTTCAGTGCGGAATTGAACGGAATTGTCATTTTAACCGTATTCATGGTAACATTTGTTTTGAGCGGGTAATGTGAAACTTCTTTGGCAGGGGATGAAGTATTTGCCAATAGGCTTTCAGCATTTTCATTAGTAAATAGCTTATTAGGCAGTAATTCTTTAATATGCAAAGCTGTTGTATTCAAGTTCAGAGGAAAAAATTGCGTTGTCTGTGTATTGGCTACACATGAGGCGCTTACTGCGTTGGAAACATTATAGATGAACTGTCGGAGGTGCGGAAAAACCATGTTATTCAACATCAGGTTTTCTAACGGCGATTTCTCTGTGGTGATCAAACTTAGAGTCTTGGCCTTGGGTAAACATTGTTCCTCATATTCAATATATGGGGGTTCTAATGAATTGAACTCATGATAGTATCCAAGATTATCATAAAAAAATAAGCTCCCATAAGAATTCTGTTCAGTTGCGAACCTCTCATAAATTCCAGGGGTGAAGTCACAGCCAGAAGAATTCACTCGCAAATTTGTATTCGGACGATGCTCGTCTTCTCTCGTTGCCGCTCGCCTAAAGGTTTCACTGACATTTCCTTCGCAGCTGAGTTCGAGGTGCAAATGCGTATAATTTGACCTTAAATTCTGTTTAAATGCATCGCTTAATTTCTTAATTTTACCAAAGTTTTGAATCCAATTTGGCACACGTTTTGAATTTGAATTTTGGAAAGCGTTTAATTTTTCTGTGCAAAGAGGATAGTAGAAATTGCCTACTGTCATGCTGGACAAATCGTCTTTATGTTCGCAACTCCTAAGGAACGCAGGAATCTTTGTTGATCCAATAACTTGTTCAGTCTGATCTGAGTTCGAAGCAGAGCTCCCTGACCAATACGAGTCTTGGCGTGTATCAGAAAAATTGTCATTCAAGGCACACGGACAATCGTCATTTACGTTCTTACGTTCTCCTTCCTCTTGGTAAATATCAAGTGTGTCGTATTCATGTGAGAAGTATTCAACAATTTTGTATTCCTCAACTGGAATTTGGGAATAGAATTTTAACTCAACTTCACTCAGAGCAGAGCTTCGTCCTTGTTTAAACTGGTGATTGACAATGTTCGACACTTGGAAGAGAGGCTTGTAAGAATTGGCTCTGAAGATTTCTAAGAAACCTGCTTTAGGTCGTAATTTATTTTTATAAAGAAAAATTATGTTCGACAAATTATTGATACCAAATGCGTTAAAATGGTCATTTTTGCCACGTATAGTCTGCATCGCTGATTCTTTCACATTGATTAGAAATGGGTAATTTACTCCTATATCTGTCCTACAAATTGCGTTTTCGTGCTCATACTGTAGTGCTCGCGGTTGACTCCTCGACCAAGCAACGTCCGGATCAACATCTAGTGGTGTAGCTGAGTCACGCTCACAGTTTTTAAGGTTTGGCTTCGCCTGATAGCAGCCGACCGTCGCCGCTCTTCCGGTCACTTGAGGCCGTGATATCCATTGGCCGACTGAAAAATGCTCTCCAGTCTCGGCGTCATACGAGTACCTGTTACTTGCGATCGTAGAAAATTCAGAGGCGTCAATCTTCAGAGATGTAAAGTTTGTTTGACATAACTTGTGATCTTCGTCAATGAGCACAGGATACAGTACCTTTGGATCAGTATTTCCGACCGAAAATATGCTTTCAGTCCGTGACTTCAATAGATCACGATGGAAAGATCCACCCACAAACATGAGCGTGGGCTCACCATTTGACCATGCGGTCATAGATTGGCTGAAATTATTTTGAGTGACGACTTTTTCAGCCTGAGACGTCTCAAAATTCCAAGTAAACTCCAAATGTTCCATTCTACAATCGCAATCAGCAATGCTGCACGATAAGAATTCTGGGCATTTTCCTCGTGGCTTCGAGTAAATTTGTACATCGTATTTGCCGGTTTCTGTTCCAGAAGTAGTTTTATTCATGAGCTCCACAACGTCTGATGAAAAGAGCAACTGATTTTCGACATAGTTTTTATCAGTAGTTTCATGTGTGGTTTGCGACATTGCAACCGAGCGAAGTTTTCCATTTGTCGCGTCAGACTTGGTTATGGTATCGCTAGATCCAGGGCACTGAGGGCAGACAGGCGAAGTTATGGCATCTTTACTTACGACATGGTTCGTGATATTATTTTCTTCATTTCGATTTATTTTTTCGGTTGATAACCATTTTGTATGGTGTGGTGTTCTGATTTTATTCGAGATTCTTTTTTCATGTTTGTTTAGATGACCTTTTATAGAGCTTTTTGAATCAATAGCTGCACTATTATCCCCGTTTACCAGCCAAACAGCATCTTCAACAGAATTTTGAGAGTCCGTACAATCGTTTTTAATCCGTTGATTTATCTTTCGAACATTCTTCTTAGCAGGTATAGAATCCTCTGAGTGCATTTTCTTCACACCTGTTCCCGGTACACCAACAGCAGAGCGTATTGTAGCTGCGCAAGTCAAGCGAGACGCATCACTTAATTTAGGACCGCACGCTACCTCACATGACACCGCTTCCCGTGATGCTCGTCTTGCAGACGCAACTTTGCTAGGTGACAATGAAGAAACTTTGCATAATGAGGTCCTCTCTGCCACACCTCGTACACCAAACGAGTTGTTTCTCATCGGTGGTGTTGTGGGGGAAGTCGTGATTGTAACGGCAGTGGATGTAGTCGATAGAGCAAGAGATCCGTCTGATGTTCCAGAGCAATTCCAAATTTTGGCTTGGTTTGCAGGTAGCAATGGTATCGTAGTCTTCGATACCATCGCAGAAGCCGTGAGAGGTGAAACGTGACTTTGGCTAACCCGGAGGGTCGTGGGGCGGGAAGAAGGGCGGGCGATTGTGCTGGGCTTTCTACTGAGAGTCATAATCGGACTACCAGATAAGCTTTGAATTACTCAATCACATGATTAGCGTCGTTATCAACATATCAACGATGTTTTGAAGAAGAATCTCGTTGTCATCCTCAATGCCAAATTGGACCGGTAAAGTTATGGTTTAGTGTTCATTTCTCTTGTGTTCACTCCACCTCCATTCGAATGATTCGATGAGTTCATGCAAATTAAATGAACAGAATAGCAAGTCTGGAAACAAAATCGAATGAAACCAAAGCAGCGCTGGCATCAATTCAATCAATTTATAAGCTCTGGAGTACAAGAGACCGAAGAGAGGTGATTTCCTGGGTAAAAATCCGTAGTTTGATAGAATAGTAGTAATATTATAGAATCCAATGCATTGTTGCACTCGTGCATAACATTGTTGGGTTCGATGGAATATTTTAATAACTACACAAAATTTATTTCAGTTTCATGCTGTATGCAGGCAACCTAAATCTATTTCACTCAATGTTGTTCAAAGCTGCAGACCAGGATCTTGTGTTATAACAAAACATCAAGAAGCTTAGATAATTTTGTTCCAAAACAGCTATTCCAAACTGTGTGTCGTCCACATCTACACTCACGCCTCTACAAGCGCCAAGCGCAGACTGAGTGCAACGTGTGTGCGGTGTGTCGTGTGGCCGCCGCGTGCACTGTCACTGTGCAGTGAGCTGCGTGGACGCGTGTGAGCAACGTTCAGCAACTCGATAACGCCTTTTAACCCTACATCAAGGAACTGATTCCGCGTTCAAAAAGCATATATTCTGAGATGCAACTGGAATTGCTAGAAATTCTGAACGATCCAATCGTATGTGTAAACGAAATTTCAACTCAAACCATGAATGGATTCAGCTAATTAGTTCTCTACTCTACCTTTCCTGGAAGATACACCTCGCTCCTCCATGTAGACAACCGATGATATCCCACAACTCAACGTAATTCAATATATTAATCACGAGAACTGGCTTGCCCAAGGACAATCGGACTAAATGTTAAAGAGAACCAACACTTTTCCTCGGAGTGTTGCTCTCAAAACTCGAGTTAGTCCATCGTCAGTTCTGTACGTAAATCGTAGCTTCCGCCAATGCCGATGGTAAGTGCCGAACAGCTTTGCTTCCATACAACTAATGGAGGAGCGAGGTCAACTCTTTACCTTGAAATTGTCGACACAGTAGCTCGCTGTTTCATCCCCTATTAATTTTTATTCTATAAACATACAATTGTAGGGGATAATCAAATCCAGGAAAAACACGAAGTTGTAGACGATCAAACCCAGGGAAAACAATTGGTAGTAGGTGGCTTTGATGATTCCTCCTGTGATTTTTAAGCGACAGCATTGAAAGACATATTTTTTCAAGCGACAGCATTGAAAGACATTTTTGAAAGACATAATTTTTAGAGATAATATCTAACGACTATAGAAGCCATTTTTTCTGATATGTTCATGGTTTGTATTATATGAAGAAAAAACTAGGGAAGGAGGGGGGGGGGTAATGGAGAAAGGGAAAACAGCTAATAAAAAGAATGAAATGAAAAATCGAACAAAAAGTTTCTTGAACGTACTTAAGAAAAATCTACTACTTAAAATCGAACGTTACTTAAATCTCTACTTAAAAATCGAACGATATGTCTTGCGATGTTGTCGCACGCAAATTGAAGGAGATAGATTTACAAAGGGCCCCCCTGTCTTGCCGTTTTCTATGCATTTTCGATGAATGTTTTATTTTAACATTCATACCAGCAAAATGTTTTTCTTTCGGTGCCTTGCATAGGCCTAAGAAGTTCATAAATGATCGATTATTTAGTTAAGGAGATAATTTTGAGGGTAGACCTCTCCTTGAGTGAAAACCAGCACAACGATTTCGTAGTAAGGCCGTTGATATTTACGACCATGCGGAACTCGGGATATCTTTCGACACCACAGAACTACAACAGCGGTAAGGCTACTTATAACAAACGTTCGTTATTGCGGCAGGATAACTTTACGGATCAATGTTACTAGGTAAAGTAGGGAAATTTGAACAGTGGTTAGAAAGCGGTATTTCCAAGCAGTTCATGTAATTCATTGGTTACGAGTAAAGAGTGATGTTACAGTAGGGCTAAATTTCATGTTCTAAATTTATTACCACTTTACCATCATTTCTGTAACGGTGGTTTTGTTAAATTAAGATGGGCTTTGATTTTCGCCCGTTTGATTTTAAATGTAAAAGTGTATCATTTTGACCCTCATAGAATAGAATAGAATAGAATTGTCGGCACTGAAGAAATAGGCCCGCGGCATGTACGTTGCAGATTCTTGTACTTTTCGTGACTTGATTCACAAGAGATCCGGCCTTTGGTGATCGAACGCAGGGAGACATGAAGTAGTAGGTGGTGATCAAACGCAGGGAGACATGAAGTAGTAGGTGGTGATCAAACGTAGGGAGAACATGAAGTAGTAGGTGGTGATCAAACGCAGGGAGAACATGAAGTACAGAAGTAGTAGGAAAATCGCACACAATTTTGAATCTGATCCCCGACTGTCAATGACTAGAATTGCACACGTATTCGTTTACAATTGCAACGTACTCGCCAACCTCGACTTAACAACGTTCCCAGTTCTTTTTCACTTGCAATTGTTAATCGATAGGCTATGACATCCCTCGTTTTAACAACTCTCCCAGTTTTTATCCGCTTGCAATTGTTAACCGATAGGCTATGACATTACTTAACTAAGTGTCTTATGGTGACCCATGCAAAAAGCGCGCGTAACTCACCGGAGTGGTGTGAGGCGAGGGAAACATCTCTGGACGAGTCAGGCGTGTCGGGTCTGCTGGCGGCGTCAGGGGCGAGCGAGTCTTCTGAAGGCGCTCGACTGGTGCGGCTGCTTCCACGCGTGCTGGTGCTGCTGAGGTTCAGAGGAATTGCTTCAAATGCGAGCAACACGTAGTTTTAACGTTTCTTTATTATTTATTAACTCATTCGCGTCCTAATTATTTCAGTTGCAGATAAATGTTGCTTCTCAAAATGTTACAACCACTCATATTAATAAGTTATAAACAGCTTGTCCCTATTCCTTTGATCTCTATACAGCGAATTATGTGAATCAACAACCATTCACGTTTTCAAACATAATGGAGCATCATAGACGATAGGTTTAACATTGAATACTGCTAAAGAAGTAAATAATTTATGATAAGCCCAACAATTATCCTTTAATTTTATAACTGAATATAAACAAATAGAAGTGGTTTTGGGCTAGTGCAACAGATTATTTATCGAACTATCAAAAATGAAATGGTTATAGTGCAACATTTTTTATTCTGAAGCTTTTAGCGGAATTCCAGAGCTGTTTCACAAAACTGGCTCACAAATTATGGATGAATAAGAAATTTATACCAATCTGCTGTGTAGATTGATAAATATGGAAAATGCGTCTCCATGCCCGTAATCCAAGGACATTTGCAGCTTTCTGGCATTGATACAGTCACGTAATACTGAAGAAAGTTGAAATTGTTCCAACCATTTCTATCTAGAATCTAGATTAACAGCCTGCTCGAAAGTATACAAAAATATAGATTTATATCATCAGCATTCTCGGTATTGCATTTACCTTCTCTTTTTCTCGACGCGTAGCGCGCTGCGACGTGTAGCAGCGGCAGCAGCAAGCGCTTGTCGCTCTCTTTTCTCGCGACGCTCCCGTCGCTCTTGGCGGATCCTCTCAGCCTGAGGAGACAGTTGCTGCGGGGCCTTCAGGCCTTCTAGCAAACGGCTTTTGATTTCTTTCACTTTGGGTCGTTCCTTATCAGCTTCCTTACCTTCGGCAATTTTACTCATTACTTCATCCCATTTGTTCTTTTTTACGACTTGCTTAATCTTTTTTTCTTCGTTTTGTGTTTCCATGCTAGCGAGAATTGCCTTCAATTTAGATTCAACGTTAATGTTGGGGCGGGGAGGTGGAGGTGCTATTATCTTCTTAGGAGCTTCAGGCTTCCTCATAACGGGCTTGGATAACCAGGGTTTTTCATAATTCCGAGGTTTCTCAGGATCAACAACGCTGGAAAAAACCTGCGTAATTTCTGACTCTTTCGCTGAAATCTGCATATTTTCGCACATGGTGAGCTTCACAGTTTGCTCAGAAGGAGCTGGGGAAGATTCAAGTCTTTCCGAACTGTTTACCTCAAGCATGACAGTACTGGTGGTGCTCTTCTCTTCGTCTTCTACTGGAAAATCAATTAATACGTCCACTTGAATTGAACGACTAACTGACGACCTCTCTGCTCGGATAGGCATTTCATGAACACAAGCTACAACTGCGTCCATTTGATCCGAATCGTGATTTGCTTCTTTCAGGGGCTGTAAGTGCGGAGGATCTGCTCGGATATTCTCTTCTTCGCGGGGATCAAGATCTGAGTAAAACCCTGAGGAATCCATTTCAGAAGCATGATGATCTGCACCTCTTACATGCCCTTCCTGAGCACGCAGCATTAGTTCTCCGTGACTGTGATATAATTTTCCATCAATCACACGAGCAGTCCTATTAGTTACAAAGCTGGACTCGGAACCTGCGTCATCTTCTTCGTCGCCTAAACTTATGTCAGCTTCAGTGGCAAGTCCTGATGAAGAGTCTAATGGAATATGCGGACAATCCACTACTTCTTCGTGAATGTTCGATTCTTGTGGATCTTGGGTTGGCGTGCCAGCGCTCCCAGAACCTATTTCTGAAGGCACGTCAAACTCGCCGTCGCCTTGATACCCAGGATCAAGACTGACGGAGCTGATAGTCATAGCACTCAGTGGCCACGTTCCGTCAGAGGGCCGATCGTCACTAGGATGCTCAGAATTTCTAGGAATTTCAATAGAGTTTTTGGCTCCTCGAGAAGCTAAAATCATCTTAGCAGCAGAAGGAATAACTTGCTTTACACCAGATGGTAACCGACAGGAATCACTGCTCTCTCCAGTACTAGAAGAATACGAATTCAAATCATCGACTTGATGATCGGCTCCAGCATTCACTCTACACTTGGGCTTTGCTCCAGTATGGTCAGACTTTAACCGAATGGATTCATGTTTATTGGTGGATGAAGCGCCAGCAGATTGTTCGCTGGAAACCGGCATTGACCGCATATGTATATGTCTGGCTTCTTGTCCATTTTTCGGCTCTTGAATGCTATATCTGTCGTTCTTTTCCACTTGTTCATCTCCTCTGGGAGTATTCTCTGGCGTTTTCTGTTGGTGATCGATAAAGCTTACGGTCTTGGAACAAATTGATGACGTTCGATGCTTGATATTGTCTTCTACTTCGTTTTGACTAAGTTCTATATTCTCTTGCATTTTATATGATATATTATCTTGTGCACTCGGGCTTCTAATTTCTTCCACACCTGTATTTTCCTTGTCGCGTGAATTCACGGTTTGCTGAGCAGGCGAAGAACTTCCCGAGGAACTACAGAGATCTTCGTTAAATTTTTGAAGTTCACTGACAACTGCAGATGCGTCTAGAGAGAAATCAAACTCATCGTAATTCATAGCAGTTGCTCCATCATTTGCATCCATAGGGAGATCAACAACTTCGTCCATTGGAGAGGGTTGAACAGAGTTGTTGGTAAAGTCGGGCATTTGATTTGGCGTGAGAATACTCAGTGAAGAATCGTCGTAGGTCACTTCTTCGGGTGAAAAATTATTGGCACGATTCACCGCTATTTTTGAGTCTAAATAAGAGAATCGACCACTAAATGATTTCTTTGAACCGATATTAATGTTCGATGGTTTCTTGAGGCCAGATAAGTGGTAATTTTCTTTAGAGTACATGGAATTGGCATGAAAGTTTTCTGGTTTGTAAATGTCTCTTGATGACAAAGATGACAGTCGCAAATCGGAACAGTCACTCAACCTGTTATTTTCAATTTGCGAATGACCTACAGAGCTTCCAGTAGGATCACTTCTTCTGTTTATAACAAGGGGCTCCTCATTTTCCAGCAAACGCTGTCTTTTCACAAATAATTCTTGATAGTTATCAACGCACGAGTCAATTAATGAAACCTTGGTTGATGGAGCCATCAAGCCATATCCAGGTCGACACTTGAAGTAGGAAATCCCTTCAACAGACCCATCATGTCTTCCTTCCCGTTCATCTAGCTCTATACCACACCACTGACCAGCCGCAAATTCGGTGGGTCCGATATAGCGTAGCCAACCACTTTTCTTGCCTCCCACCAAAACTCTCTTGCCAATGCAATCGGAATTCAATTCGAGAGGAAAGTCATCCCAAGCTGATCGAGGAATGTCATCATAAATATCATCTCTGACAATCATTTTCAATTGTTGAGAAAAAGAATTCAATTTCTGAAAGCCGATTCGTCCTTCGGTCCAACCTGAAGGGCTTTTCATGGCCGCGTCTGGAGATTTATTCAGCTCCCATGGGTCAGTGTTCGTGATCGCAGCTTCAAGTCTGTTATCCTTTACTTTACTTCTGTGAAAACATTCAAGAACATTTCGATCTCTGGGCGACGTCGGTGGGCTGTGGCTGAATTGAGTAACCTGACCATCAATTGTATACCATGTTGATCCTGTCGAGTATCGCGTCGTGGCCGTCGACTGGCGAGTCGCCGCATCCCCCGTCTGGCGTGAGCGGGTGAGACTCGAGAAGAGTCGCGGCAGGGCCGACGACGGCCGTGGCAGCCCAGAACGCCGTTTTGACGAGTTCTCGTGAGTTCCCTGCAACAAAATTACACAATGTTATGTAATAAAACATTCGTCTTAGCACTTGAGGAGAACTTCGACTTCTAGATTAGTTTTTGTCAATATCGCGTAATAATTAGCATGGAGTACCGCGTTATTTATGAGTAGTTTGCATTTTTTGGAGGTTCTTCGTTAGTTTTATTATTTGTGGCATTTAATATTCTACTATGCCTGGAAAGGTTCATTCCAAGAACAAGAGAAGTCAGTGGAAAGTCTGAAGTTGAGTAAAACGGATGGGAGCTGTAAAACTTACATGAAACATTGAGATCACTTTACCTGAATTATAAATTAACTTTAAATTCAAAATCATAGCAAATGATGCGAGAATGTTCGTAGCAAATGAATGTTTGGCACGAGTTGAGTGCTGCTGGATGAGTGAGATGCACGAGTTTGTTTCCAGTTCGATAACTCCTCTCTTTATGCTGAGCCTGTCTAGAATAGAAAGTGTGCGCTGTCACACAGACGTACGCTGATGCATATTGCACAGAACTGAATTGATTAACTTGAAACAATATCATGCGGATAGGAATAATATATTCATGAATGGAAAAATAAAAGATTAAGTAATCATTAATTAAATAGTCAATAATTGTCATTACATTAAATTATTTAAAATCTAGCCAGGAAAATTAATAATCGGAAGATTTTTTTTATTGAAAAATGTTTTCAAACACATTTGACATGTCTCTGATGCAAGGCTATAAGGTATGAAAATAAACGATAAACAATTTAACGTTCATATTTAACGTTCAACTTCTATACATCGCTTAGACATGAATTTCCTCATTCGTTTTAACACAAGGCGTGACGAAAAACGATTTAGTGCGACAGGGCGGCGCACAAATACGAATTTTGATTGCATATCATCAATGGCAGAGCAAACCCTAAAGCCGGGTTTTCTTTAGGTCAGGAGTTAGCTTAGGCAAGAAACGCCGTTAAACACTTTTTCTTACTCTAAATTTTCACACTTGGTGCCTATGTTATCCGACAAAGTGCCGGACGGTCGACAGAAGCATTCAACAAAGCTACGAGCTCATCGAAAGAAACTCAATTTCCTCTTAATAATAAAAAATCCAATACCTATATAAATCATAGTAATTAAGAGAGTTTATCAATAGACATAATCTCGATGATAAATTTTTCTACGATTTATATAATATTCACGGCAGTGGATCATCATCATATACCCTCTGTTCCCAATCAGAACTATATTCAAAACCACAATTTCTAAATTCATTAAAATTCCAGACCCAATATCTAAAATTATATTGGTAATCGGGAACAGTATTAATAATTTCATACGAAAACAACGTAAAGATTCCTCTACTCTAGACTTTCACTTAAATTTCTTGCTCAAAGATATAAATGCCGTGATTTTTTTGCGCAAATTTTATGCAACGCAACATCCCTGCATCTGATAGTGACCTATATAGTTTCCAGTTAGAATGCTAGTTTCTACATCTAACGTTTTCGACTAGGAAATTATATTCGCTCTTAATATTTTTAAACAGAAGACTTGGTTGAATTACTACGTACGGATCAGCGTTACCTGATATAACAGGAAGTTCGAGTATAGGTTAGCCATTTAATTTCGATGCAGTAATTTGTTAGCGTTCGGATATGACATGATTTTACCCGATTAACTTTAAACATGAAAGTATTTCATTTCGACTTTCATGCACTCTTATTGCGGGGATCAGTATAGGTAGCCTTAGCCTAAACGTACTTTATTGACCGTCTATATACTAGTAGGCTACAGAATTAAAGATTGATTTAATGCGCTGGAAGTACAGGAGAATGAAAAAGTTGAAGAAATACAAACCAGAACCAGTAATATTCAGGTGCATGGACTCTGCAAGACTCCGTGATCGGAACCGCGGTGTAATCAGGCAAACTGCGGCGTTAAGTCGTTATCTGAACTCGGTATAGTAATCACATAAATGATATTTGAGATTTTGAGGTGGAAGGCGATTTTTATCGGCTGATAATGATAAGTGGCCGGAGCATGTTGGCTCTGACCCATCACTGGTCTCTTTTTCACTCAGGCTTCCAAAAAACAAAAATAGCACTAATAATGCCACTGGTATAAAGGGATTTATGGCCTTGCGATACCTATTGTACTTTCTTTGAATTCCTTCTAACGATCTGATCTGAAAAAATTTTCAGGGAATTGTTCTCTTCGACAGGGTTGGCTCGATTCCTACTAATTTTGGCAACCAATATCTATGATGAAGAGGAGGATTCATAAGTGACTGGGATACAGAGAAAAGTTTCGAAACGATCCCTTTTCTATAAAAATAGTTAATTACTATGTAAAACAATGTACAGAATTTTTCTTCGTGATAACTGGTGCTAAATAAAGTTTATAAATTTTCGGAAAATTTTTCAGCATTTTAAATAAAATTCTGGAATAAGCCATGAAATGAGCCGTTAATCTTATTTGCAAGAGGAGTTACCAGGAATCAACTTGGTGAAGAAATTGATTGGAAACTTGGTCAAAGGACGCCAGATGCAGAACCACTACCAGTCGCTTCGATCAAAAGCTTAAGAAAAAATTATCCTTAAAGGAAGCTTCTGCAACGGGACGCGGAGTCAATCCACAATGTAAACCACTGTGGGTCAAACCGCGGGTAGCAACAGCGTAAATTATTAGCTACCAAAATTGGCGCAAAATAGTTTTTTAAGCTGCCACGACTGGAGCACAAGCTACAGGCTCCTATTCTCTAGGCGTGAGTGACGGCAACTCATTTACCCGCGCTTTAGGGGAAGCAATGGCTGCGAGAAACTTAAATTCACTGAGGAAACAAAGACTCCTGGATGAAACATAGGACTACGGACGCGTCATCTCTGAATCAGTCGTGAAACGACACGAGAAGCAAATTCCGTGCAGCAATTATGGAGCTGACAATAACATCAATTAAGGAACAGGCAGGGCCTATTATTATCGTTCGGGAAATCGGCTACAGCCGACAGTAACAACGTTGAAGCAACTATCCGAGAGCAACACCTTACTATAGTGGAAGCCAATACAACCATTGCAACGTAGGGACGTTATTAACTTCACAGCCAGCCCTACATACAGCGCGGCATCTTCAGAAGAAACGAGATGGGACTTATTAAACCAAGAAGACAACTACAATATATGGCGGCAGCCTTTAAGCATTACTGCGGTCTCGATCACCGAGAGCGTTTATTGTGAACGCAACATTTGTCAAATTAGGAGACTAGCTTAATACTGTGGTCTTGCGAAACCTATTCGTTCATTCGTCATCTGTCAGCTGCAGAGTAAAGACCGAACTAAGATCAAGAACGAATTTTGGTGAGCCTAGTTTTCATATTTGAACATTTCTTCGCTGTTTATCGAAAGCCTTTGTAATTACTTGAATATTTTCGAATATTGTTAATATATTCAATAACCTTTTTTCTTCGACTAAATTTTGTATTTGTACCGGTTTCTCTCCAGAAACCGTGACTTCTGGGAATATAAAGTAAAAATGAACCCTGGATGCACGCGTATTCAATTAATCCTGCCATAGACAAGAGTTGCGCTGTAAAGCACTAAAATGACTAAATAGTCCGCAACAGCGTTCGAGTAGCAACCAGCCATGCAGCAATGCACGTTACGGCAAGCGTTTCACTCAGGTGGATCACACTACTGATCAATGTCTTCCTTTGAAAAGGTAAAGTTCCTGTAATCATTAGAGGCGTTTTATAACGATAAATTTAAGCATGTGGTCAGGGAAGTATAAACGATGCAGGGAAGTGAAGTGAATATACGATGCATAGAAGTGAAGTTCAAAGCATAAATATCTTACACGAAACTAATTCGATCTCGAAACACCTAACACATCTAAAATTATTGTTGCTTATCTCTACAGGCTTTAGTTAAATGTTTGAGTCAACTTGGTTCTTGTGGAAGCGACAACATACGAGACAATATAGATATATACATACATCACAACAATCCAGGAAATCCTGCAAGCGTTGTGGGACACGCCCTTCGCTGTTAATTTCCATCTACGATACAAACCAGAGCTCGCTTATTGCTAGAATTTAAATCCGACACTAATAACAATAATAACAAATGTTTGCGGTAATCAACGTAGAGACGAGAAAAATTTCTATGTATAGGCAAATGTTTTAATAACTTTCGACTCATTCATGCCAACATATTCTGGCATGGAAACTGGACAAAATTGTTTATCAAAGCAGTTAAGCAGTTCTAATCGTAATTATTCTACTTCATGCTGAATATTTGATGACAGACCTTATTCGCTATCTATGCTCGATTTCATTGAATGGTCCTTTTGCCTAGAGAGAACTTTTCACTATCACCGGGCCCCGCATGTAGAGATGCAATTTAAATATACAGTAATTAGCTCTTTAATCTCGTCCAGATTTCTGGATTAATTTAGACTCTCAAATATATTCGAGGATATGCACAGAAATTTTTTTTTTTTATTTTTGCAGAAAGACATTTAAGCAGGAGTAATCGAACTTCGTAACTGATAATACTGCATGCAACAGACTGCATGACCAATCGAAGATTTTCAATTTTTAAAATAATTGTTCAACTTTTATTAACGTATCAGATCACACGTGTTATATGACAGCAACTAATCATTTACATTATGAAAGTGTCTAACGAAAGTTTAAAGAAGTCTAATGTCTCGACAGGAAAAAACGTTAATGAAATATCGTAATGGTGGCTAAACTTTTATATAAGTCCGAACAACGATTGTAAGGATCCCCGAAAATTCACTCGTAAATATTAAATCGGCCTTTGACTGACTCACCATGAGAGAGGTTGAACGATCAAGCTCCATCAACAATCGAACTTCATCACTTCACTTGATGCATGTATTGTCCAGAAATCACTTAAAAAGCGTCACGCACCGCCCCTGAACTGAACTCTAACTGCTGAAATCATCAGACAATCATAACGCTCGTGAACTTCCCCAGACGAAGATTGTGTTCAGCGATTAGGGTTACTAGCCAGCGATAGATTATCACAAACTCCTACCAGTATCTCAAACAATGGAACGATATGAGAGTGTTTCGTATCCCCATTTAAACTTATGACTTGCCGTACTGTGTTATAGGATCAAATAATTCCATAATTTTTTCATTAAATGAAACTTAAATCATTTTTTTGTCGATTACTTGCCAAATATGACAGTCGTATTGATCACCACAAGGCTTATTGCGCACCACACAATGGAGGAACTGATATTAAAGCGGATGTTATATTTTCTTTGAGATTTTAAGTTTTTGCATTAAGTGGTATGCTGTTCTAAGAGGCGAGACGAAAGAATCGCGCAGTTTCGCACACTTTGCAGGAAATAACATGCTATAGCATGACTTAAAAAAATATTCAAATGAAAACTGAGCACTATGAAAAACTGTCACACTAGAGTTTGAGTAGTAAACAGTATTACAATGGAGTTGGCAACACTACATTAGAGAATACGGAGCATGCAATATTGATGTTGAATATGTGAAACATGCCCCATTATAATTAGGCGAGTGAGACGTGCAATATTACAAAGGAGTATGTGGAACATGTAATATCACATTGAAGTATGCCTTAGTGTACGTGGTACAGCATGTGTTCATGCAACATTACACATGCAGTGGTACACTATCATCGGCTAGTTGTACGGTGACATGTGGAGCGCATCATCTTTCCTGATGCATTCATGAACTTAGTTGCCAACACGTACCGCCAATACCACCATTACTATAATATTCCGTCCCACTACCGTACCGTAGTCAAAGAAGTTTGTTGTTTAATTAAAACCACTACGCCCGTCGTCCGCAACCACAGCTAACATCAATATAGTCTTCATGTATTTGCAATCAGTGCTTGGCCCTACCTCAACTCTTCGATTCTCCACCCAAAACAATCTTTCGGAACTAGTGTGCGGGCTTTGGCGTTACTAGCGTGGTCTACGACTTGTATCCCTGAAGCAAAATGTAGCTGCGCAAAGTGTGCATTTTAAATGCTGAGCGTCAGTTTAAGAGAAGTAGAATATAATGGCCGACTTCTTCGCTACTCAGGGTTTGAGATGGACGGATGTTATATTTGAGGAAAAGACAATATTATACTGGAGTACGCGGAACATGCAATTTTGCACCGGAGTAATGGAAGCATGCAATATAACTATATGAACGAAGCATGCAACATTACGCTGGAGTATGTGGAACATGTAACATTACACTGGAGTATGAGGAACATGCAACATTACACTGGAGTGTGTGGATCATGCTAACATTACACTGGAGTGTGTGGAACATGCAACATTACACTGGAGTGTGTGGAACATGCAACATTACACTGGAGTATGCGGAACATGCAGCATTACACTGGAGTTTGTGTAACATGCAACATTACACTGGAGTTTGTGTAACATGCAACATTACACTGGAGTATGTGGACCATGCAACATTACACTGGAGTATGTGGAACATGCAACATTACACTGGAGTATGCGGAACATGCAACATTACACTGGAGTTTGTGTAACATGCAACATTACACTGGAATATGTGGAACATGCAACATTACACTGGAGTATGTGGAACATGTAACATTGTACTGGAGTATGTGGAACATGTAACATTACACTGGAGTATGGGCAACATGCAACATTACACTGAAGTATGCAGAATATGCAACATTACACTGGAGTATGAGGAACATGCAATATCACACTAAAGTAAGTGAAACATATGTACAACATTACACTGGAGTAAGTGGAACATATTTGCAACATTACACAGGAGAATATGGAATATGCAATATCACACTAAACACATGCAGTAACCAGACGAACAACCAACGCACTGCACCGAGCCAGGAGACGCACAAGGCTCCACTGATGTCACGCACGCATGCAATTCACGGAGCAGCAGCAGCAGCAGCAAGCGAGACGCGCTCTCCCGTGTCGCCTGACGCAACGTCCACGGGACGGTGAGCTACGCTACGAGCTGCAGTGTCAGCGGCAGGTTGGTGGCTAGCCTATGCTGGCTCTTTAAAAATGACCTATGAAGACAAGATTGCTGTTTGTTAAATGTTGTGTGGATTTTCTCGGATTATCAATCATCATTTGAATGATACATAAATTCTGGTAACAATAACGGGCATTAATGTATTTTAGAATCTAATCTAATCTAGAATGCAAATAAAGTGAATAACTCGGTGTTTACAGAGACCAAATGGATAATTCAGTACAATATAATACGAAAATATTAAAAGCTAATTGTGGAACACAAGATTGCAACTCGAGAAAGTATGACTCAAGAGGAGAAATTCATACTTTAAATATTTGAATGAGATTTCAATGATATTTCAATGTATTGAGACACTCAGCAATTCGCCTATTTGTATATTACCCTTCCGTTCATTATGAAATGGCGGACTCTCCTGATACTCTTATAATTCATTAGGTTTTCTGACGGCCAGCGCCGTAGTCTTAACCAAACATCAGACTCATGACCGACGGCGTAATCACATAGACGACCTTGCGAGAACAGCATGGCAGTGAAGCGACCAGCCGCCCACCCCTCGCATGTATAGGGGACTGGCGCTGCTGAGGTCATTGATTATTGCCCGCCGGCGACATGTGAGGTAGCGATCGACTCAAGCGCTGCACTTCCGAATTGCGGTGCTACTGTCTGGGCAGGAAATTACTTGGTGCTTATGTTTTTCTAGCAATTAGATTTAATTACGAATGAGAAGAATAATTGTGCGCAATGACTTGTTAATTATTTGTTAAACCTTTCGTGTTGATTGCTTGGTAAACTAATTAATCTGAAGATGATGAATATCTGAGTAGAACGTTTGAAAAGTTTTACCTGTTTAATCGACTACCTAATCTTGATCCTATTTTAAACATCCCTCAAACTTGAGAAGAATTCACCTCGCTAAGGTTATTATATTTAAGATGAGTTCAATAAATGAAATTTAATACATGTATTTTGAATTAATTATTTTAAACTATTTTCGAATTGTTCCGAATTTTTTATTTTCGCATGGAAACAAAATTTAGGTGAATGTGAATGTCACGAAGTGAATGGAAAAATTAAGGATGAAAATTTACAAAGCGTACAAAAATTATGAAAATTGTACCAAAAATGCTTGGTAAATAGACTTGAATTTGCCAATCCAAAAATAACTCTGTGGTGAATGAATTCAAAATAGATTCCATATTAAAATGAATAAAGAAAGATATCTGTCCTGGGAGAGAAGGCTCATAACAGATCTGTAAGTTGACATACGAAAATAGAGTGTTAATTGGCAGTGTAGAACATCGCAAGTCTATGTCAAGGGTTAAGATTACTTCCAAAAAAGTATTGGAAGCGATTAATACATGAACCGCTAAAAACATTTCGAATTTGTTGAGCGTTATACATTTTTGTTGATGATCAGTATATTTGCAATATATCACAATATCACCACAATATTATCATTTTCCAGTCTATTTACTTTGCTGTATGATGATGTATGCGAATTTTTTTCAGAAAATGCAGGCTCTGTAGGTTCAATGATTATGATTAAAGGAAATTCTGAGGTCATTTGTGCCTGACAGTAATAAAGTGGCCAAACAAGCAGCGATTGGAGCAGCGAGCAACAGGTTCGAGCCCCTGCAAGCTGGAAAATTCCGTAATATTGATTGCAGATACCGACATGCGGTGCTTTCATCGTGGCTATGGACGCGGTGTCCTCGTGGAATGAGTTCCAAGATTTAGAAGGTGGGTATAGGAATACATAAAGGACAACTAAGAAAGTCCTGCTTTTTACGTTGTTTCTGCTTAGAAGTCTTATTGAGTTTCGCTTTCATGCGGGGTTAATTAATTGTTCCTGAGCGCGGAGCGCCCCATCACAGAGCTCTCGTTTGTTGCACTAACTAGCTTCTATAGTACCACTATAAGGGTGTGGTAAACGTTCCGCTAACCGCAAGTGCAGTGGTAACCAATGTGAAGAGTGCGCGCCATGAGGGAGCAGGAGAAATGGTCATAGGAATTTTTATATTTTACTACCACATTGAATGTTTAATAATAGAAAATACGGATAATTGAAGACACCTGGTAAGAACGAAAACATTAAGCTGCCAGGAGCTATGCAGAACACAGCTATATATGGTCTAGGCCTGTGGGTCAGTATGTTGACTAAATCCTCGTAAATTTTTCCGGCTCGAAGCCAAACGGATGTTAAGTTTTTTGCAGTAATTTCTAAGGCTGTTCTCACGGGCACTGAGGCCTAATTGTAAAGTTAGGAGACAAATATAGGCTGAATGTGCCGAGCCATGTGCCGAGTACAAGTGTACACTAGTTTTCCGGAGAAGCATTTCTAGTTTTATTCACATTTGCTGTCTGTCTGCAGAAAGCGCAAATTTTTCCCACAACATATTTTACGAAATAAAGCCTCACTTCGCTCTAAGCATTCGGTTTGAAGCACATATAGAGAGACGATTCCATACTGGACAAGACAGGATGTGTCCACTCATCGGGTAAAAATCTTTGTACATTTTTCTATCCTGTGCCTCGTAACTGTACGAGGAAGGCTTTCCAGCCGCAATGTGTGAGGACAAAATTCAGCTAGAAAAAAATATTGAGTAATATCGGGACGTAGTATACTTTTGCAGCCATTTTTGGAAAGCCTCGAAGTCCCGAAAAAGTCCCGGAAAATATAACGAGTCAAATTTCTGGACCAACGTCCGGGAATTTAAAACTTGTCTCGCATAAATTGAAACGTAAGGAGACAGATGGACATAAAACGAGGCAAGTCTTAGATATTCGATACAAGTTAATACATTTTATTAACATACGAGATAAAATGTAATATACTGAACGAGCTGATAGAGTATGAAAAGTAAAACGCTATATTGTAATTGAATGGTTTTGAAGAGTGGGCGT